ATTATATAATAAAGATTAAAGTTATAATTTTGAGACTTTCATAATAAGTTGATATAAAGTTTTATTGAATTGTAAATATTCAAAAAAAAACATTGTACTCAAAGTATAAACACTAAATATTTATAACTGTATCTTTCCTAATAATGAAATTTTATATAAAAAATTTTTTTCTCGTAAATTGTGTTTCTCAAAAGAGTAAGTTTAATTATAAACATAAAACATTTCATTAATTTTTATAAATAAATGATTAAATCAACATAATCCTTTTTAAGAAATCTTGTTTAATATAAACCTATCAACATGTTTGAACCAATAATTGTTTTAGTAATACATATAAGATAAAATCTATAACATCAATTTAAAATGAAATTAATAAATTAATATTTAAACTCATAAAATTAAATAATAGATGTACTAATTGATGAATTTCACATGTAATACTTGTATAATAGTAGTATAATATTGGTTAATAATTTTTAGTTGGTATAAATACATTTATTAGCAATAATATGATTATACTGCAATATTGCCTCATTATATTTGTCAATTTGTGTAATTATATGTGAAATTTATCTATAATCATAAAGTCCAGAACTATTTATTCATGGAAATTATGTATGAGATCAATGACTTTATTATAATTTCCTTAATTGCTTTGAAAATTTAGTTTGTATAAATCTTAATAAACATATTCTAGGAATCATTATTTATATTCACTATATATATAGTTAAATACTGATATATTGATATGATATATAAAAATATACATATAAAACACAATAATAAATTATGAAAAAACAAATAAATTTAACCCTGTAGATTAATAGTTTTAGATACATGAAGTATATTTTGCAATGTTTTTCTCCAAATATATAGTATCAAAATATGAAAATAATCTAAAAACACTTAACATTTAGAGACCATTTGAAATATTAATGTACAATTTTGTTTAATTATATTTAAACAAATTTAAGAAATTATATTGATCAATTTTTAAATAATTTAACTAATTAAGTATTATTAAGTATTATTATGAGACTTTCCTAATAAGTTGACATTGGGTTTTATTAAATTGTAAATATTAAAAAAAAAAACACTGTAAATTTAAAATTATATTGTGGAGTGATCAATTGATCAATGATCAATTAAAAAAAAAAACAATTCTCAATGAGAAATCTTGTTTAATATAAACATAGAAATATATTTGAATACAACAAATATTTATTACATGTAAGATTGGATCTATGGTCTAAATTTTAAGTTAAATTAATAAATGTATATTTCAACTCTTAAAACTATGTAGTAGAAGAAGTCCTAATTGATGGATTTCACATATAATCCTTATATAACAGTACTATAATATGAGTTAATAAATACACATTACATTTTTTTATATATTTTATTATAATTTTATATTTATGTTATTTATTGTAATAATTATTTACCTATCAGTATTTAACTATGAATTTAAAGTGCAGAAATGAGAGTGCATGTATAAGATCAATGATTTTTTTATAATTGTCTTAATTTTTTTAAAAATTCTAGTTATTCTAAGTGTCATCAGTAATCAATACTAAATACATAGAAAATTGCTGATAAATTANATTTTATAAATCTCTCAAAGGTGTAATTTAATAAACAAAAAATAATGACAGTACCTAATACTAATGATAGATTTACACTATCAACAGAATCTTTTTTCAAAAATCTTGAACCGAGTGGTCAACAGGCATATGATTCTTGAAGCTACAGTTTTTAACAGCAAAGGTGAAGTTGTTCTCCTGCCACGAATCCCAATGATCCCTCCAGACTCACCCATTCCATTCAAACGTCTGCAATTTCCAATTCGCTTGGCATTTGCCATGACTATTAATAAGTCACAAGGTCAAACAATGTCCATTTGAGGGTTGGATCTAGAAAATCTGGTCTTTTCACATGGCCAATTATATGTGGCATGTTCTCGCGTTGGAAAACCGTAGAGTTTATTAATTTATACTCCTCGGGAATTGAATAAAAATATTGTTCATCAACTCGCATTAAGATAAAATTAAACAAACATTATTGATTGTAACGAATTGTTTTTAGAAAAATTTATGCAATTTCAAAATAGTAAATAATATTCAAAAATAATGAAATTATTATATTATTTGTCTTTCATTTCATACCTTGTTTTATATCCTAATCACTTGAAATATCATGCAGGCCAACGTCTGTCGGGTCCGTTAGTATAATATATGTATATTTAAACTTTTTTCCTGTGAACAATTTTTCCACCAGCAGTTTTGCTCTAATGTACAATGATAGCACTTTTTCTGAAAGGAAATCTGATTGGGGCAATTTTTCGATTTTCCTAGCAGCTGTGAAAAACCGGGAAAAACGGTACAATATTAAATAATAATATTATTAAAAAATATATATAATGGCTATTCAATTATTTTATAATATGGCATATATTTATATATAATGTTAACACAGAAGCACTGTCAACTGAACTCCGGTCAGAATCGTTTTTTCGTTAGAAATGGTTAGCTTCGTTACATAAATATTAAATTCCTATCTGTATCCTACCTTCCAAATTTTCATCTACAACAATGGCACACCCGTCCGCAGTATCGGCACTTTTTTTTTTTTTTTCTAAACCGATTGTACCTGCAGTCTTATACAAGTGGCCCGCAGGCAATACGTCCGCCGCATTGACGTAGCTGAAACATTCTGAATATTTGTATACGCGTGGGTCGTACAAATATTGACGTACTCCGTCGGTCGTATAAACTATAAGAGGCTAATTTCTTGGGATTTTTAAACATTTTTCTAAAAATTATTTCCCATAAAACAATTTTCGAATACAGTCCAGCGTGTTTTTATAATAGATTTAAAGTTAAAATAAATGAAAGTGTTTGTATCCTTATGCGCGATTCATTACAGCCGAATCTTCTATCGCTGCAGCACGCCCGGAAGTCTGGTAATTAAGATACAGAAACCGATTAATTAACAACTATATCTATAGTAGGTGAGCATTATTTTTTTTTTTTTTTTTTTTTGCCAAAACACAAAAATCGAATTCTCTTCGGCGTCAGTAACACACCGCGCACGGTACTTAGGCGATTATAATAACATGACAAAAAGTACACCAGTGCCGCGGAAACCACGGTGCGGGCGGTTCATTGCACCAGAACACCTAACTTCGAGTTCTTGTACGGGGCCCATATTCAAAATCGTCTAAATACCTATACCAATAACAACATGTCTCGATGTGTGTGTCGTACGTAGCCTACCTACGTAGGTCTCGAAAGACACACGCCAATTAATAGGTAAAACAACCGACATTATGTGTATACGGGCAACCTACGGCCAGCATCCAGGACCGCCACGGGTACACTGACTGGATCGCGGAGGGGCGCAGCTCGCTCGTTGACGAGCCGCGGACAATTACGCGAAATCGTCATAGTACGGGTTCGATAATTTTCCGTTACCGGACGATTTTTGATGTATTTCGATGATTGCACTATCGAAAAAATTCACGCAGGNTGGACCGCATGGTATTTTATTCGAATTGTAAGCGAGTATTTAAATAATTCAAACGTAAAAGCTGAAAACCAACTTATGATTAAGTAGGTAGATACGTTTTGTTTAACATCCACCGATGTTACATCTGATAATAAGACCAGACAAGGAGAGTTTTTAATTAGGTTTAGGTAAGTAGAATAATAACAATTCAAGAATTGCCTGTAAGTACCAACATAAATACCATGTGCGGTTAAAACAGGAGTTATGAAGGGGTACATCACCATGTTTGTAAATAAAAAGGAATAAAAAAATATCGTTTACAAACGTGTTTAGGTACATTGTTAAAATATGTTAATGCGACTACATTATTTTCATTATACTTACTTAATCATACCTACCACTTTTGATTGTGTATGGGTAATATCCAAAAATAGCAATGAAGCGGTTTTGAAGGAATTGTCGGTAGTTACCTAGATTTTGGCTTGTACACCCCCCCCCCTCCGACATTGCCTATAGTCACGGCATTGTGTGGACGGCGGCACAAAACTCAAATTGGCCCGGCACAACGCCGGATGGCGTGGATGTGCCACGGTAATAATAATATTATGGACGGGCACGTTTTATAAACAGCCAGTCACCGCGGCTTGTACGATAATAACATTATCATTGTGTTCGATAGGTGCCGCTGCAGACAAGGGCTGTAACACGAGGGGTTATTTATGTTCCTGTTGCGCTTTTTTAGTCGTTAATTTAATATATCGTTATGTTATTTTACCTTTACTGTAGATAGAATCGGCGTTTAATTTATTAATTTCAATACAAAAATTATATGTAACTTTGCTACTTACGTATTTCTTTTATCTGTATCGTTTCTCTTTATATTTCATATATTTATGTATATTATTAAGTCCTAGATAAAACGTGGCCCAATTATCGACTATTTGACAATTATTAACAAAGTAAAAACAATACGGTAACGCATTTGCAGGATAGATATCTGTACCTAAAACCTCAATTTTTTCCTTTAAAACGCATTTCTCATTTCAAATGCGTTGATATACTCGTAAGTATATTACAGACTATTTAATTCGATATCTGCGTCCGTTTCACACTAGTAGGTTTTATATGTATTTACCTAAGCACACTGAATCATTGATATTACATGTATATTATATATAATATTATTATTTTATTTATTTATTAAACAATATTTAAACTTATTATAAATACTTTCAAACCTTTTAATAAATAAATGTAAGTAAAAACCAAATACAAATATAACAATTGCAAGTGTACAATAATTATTTAATGAATTTTACATAAGTATAATAATACAAGTAATGAAGTAAATATAATAACAAAACATAATAAACAAGGTAATAATAACATGAACAGTAATATGGAAATAGTGAAATGAATAATGAATATGAAAAGTATTAAAAAATTGTAAACAAAATGTTATTCACAATTTATTGGACATTTCCGAAGCTTTTTTAATGATCCTGACTTTCAAAATCCTAAAACACAAGTTGTAAATAAGATTAATGCGGTTTTCAAATATTTTAAATTAATTCACCTCGAGTTTTACGTTTAATATTTTAAATAAGTGTTCGATTTGAAATCGTATCATGCAGTACACGCCCAGTTCATGGTACAATTTCGTCAAGCTCGTCAGGGCTTTTATCGTCCACGGATGTTGGGTATTATACACCTTATTAATAAAATATAAAAATTATACTATAATCGGGAAAAAATTCAATTGATTAATGGGAGGGGGAGGGGAGGTTGAAATATTCAACATACTTTGCTACCCGCGCATGATTCCAGAACTTTCACTACGAATGGTATTGCGAATTCCCCACGGTCTTCGCAGTTATAGGATTTGGTCAAAAACGAGTCGAGTTCGCCAAATTCGTCGATCACAGTGCTCCTGTTTTCTGCGATTGTAATCATACCGAACCAATGACCTAAATTGTTTAACCGCGTCCTGTACAGTTCTTTGACGCAAGGCGAATTCGATTTGTTTTGTTTGAATAAAACCTAAAGAGATAAAATTCAAGATATTATATTAGATATAATATATATAGATAATTATATATTAAGTAATCGGTTTGCGTATCTTGCGTTTATAACAGACACATCTTTATGCTTACTCTGATGTTTTTGACGGTTTCCCTTCTTATTAATGTGTTCAGGGGTATGTTGTTTAACCCCTCCAGAAAGTTCAAATACATCTCGTGAAAATTCGACTCGACAGCGATTCGTTTGGTTAGTAAGTACCTCGATAACCAAGGTAGATATTCGTCGGTCAATATCTCTTGGATTTCGTCGCACTTAATAAAATACAAATAAATTATTAACACGATAATTATAACAGATACCTCCTATATGTATAAAGTATTTTAGTGATATTTTTTTTTGTACACGTTTAAATTTGCACTAGTAAATATTAATGTTAACCTTGGTTTGAACGTTGAATTGATTCAAGTCTTTTAAGATTTTAATCATTTTCGTGTGTACGCTTTCTTTATTATTTTTTTTCGTCGCCTTTGTGCCGACGTTATCGTTATCACTAACGATATTTTTAATTCGTTTTGATTGATGGCCGTCTCCAGTATTTTGAGTTATTTTCATATTTTTTGAAAATTCTTCAGACCATGATAAAACTTCTTTCGTGGTTTTCTCAATCAAATGCTAACATAAAATACATAAAACAAATATAAAAAATATGAATAACGTCGTTTGAGCAATAATATTGTACTTGTCATTCGTAATTCTATTCTAAGATATTTATCAATATCAAGAATAATGTATAGGTGTCGAAAGACATTTTAAATTAATGAAATACCTAATCAAAAAAAGATTATTCACTAATCTTTCTTTTTGTTTTAAATGCGTTTCACATTAATATTCTCAACGATTCTACGCACTTTTTAAAGTTTTTACATTCAATATACACTATTAACAACTTAATTTAATTGTTTTTAATCATACCTCGTATACGTGTTTTTGCACATTTGGAATTTCTAACATATAATTTAGATATTGACGCACGCGATCGGTCTTCACGCATTTACAGAACTGGTCAACCGCAGTTAGGCCGAATGCGAATATATCGGATTCGTTATTTTGTTTAAGCGATTCCAATACAAAATACAATGCTGTACGCAAATTTTCATCATTTCTACAAATAAAATATACTTGATAATATTATACTCGGTAAATAACGCTTGGGAGATTACTCACTCGATGATACCGCGCTCTATTATGCCACCATAAAGACGACCTGCTAATATCAGTTCGTGTCGCTTGTACGTGGAAAAATACTGATATTGTCCGAATAAATGATCCAACATTTGAGACATTATTTCCTGAAAAACGTTAAAAAAATTGTATATTGTGTTTCTAAACAATTTTCACATTGGACGCGCATTATTGATAACAGTAAAACAAAAAAAAACATTTAAACTGAATTTAAAACAGTTGGATAAAATAATATTTTTAAAAATGTTGAAAGCATATAATCGAGTATAAAATACAACAATATTGAGAATAAATATGTCCAAAATGAGATTGTAACGGATAATGTATAATAATTAAATATAACCTTTCCTTTCGGTTTGTAATAAATTTCTTCCAGCGAATGTATCACGTCATCAACGGAGTTTGTTTGCTGGATCACTGCCGAATAGTATAATCTCCAAAAGCGGACTTTCGTTATTCGTTCGGCCGTAGACATTTTCTCGACCATAGTGTTTTGACAATTTATAAAAATAATAAATGATAAATTTACAAGAGTCGTTTATTTTAATTAAATCTTAAACCGCCTATAATATACTTACGATCAGTACACCGTCAAAAAAGAAGAAACGAAAAAATAACGCGAAACAAAATTAATTGTAATAAATTTTCTAAAGGCATATTATCAGAGCGGCGGAGAAAACATCAGTGAGCGTTTTTTTCGATCGTCGATACCCGGTCGATTTTTTCAGCCGCGTAACCATGGTGTAACAACGTTGCACGTTGTTTATTTATTTTGTCAAACATATTTTCGAAAGTTAATACTTTAAGCCAGTTATAATTTACAGGAGCCTCAATCACTTTACAAGCATAGATATCAAGTTTTAAAGACAATCGTTATATTATATACAGGGTGATTCATTTAACGAAAAACACATTATTATTTCGCAAAATATTGATTTTTATAAAGATAATTTTGTTTTTTTTTGGCAGAATTATTTGAAACATGTAGTTCTAAACATTTACACTGCCGTTATAATTTGACACCCTTATGTCTGGGAATGAAACGACTATTACTTAAGATTTTAAAATGGCAACCTTATAAAAAAAAAAAAAAAGAATCATTAAGTAGACGGATTACATTAGTGTTTGGAAACAACGCGTTCGATTATAATACGGACGTGAAAAACTTTTTTATGTTAATTTAATGTTCATTTGATAAAAAAAAAAACCTCAATAATATTATTAACGATATCTAATATTATTGTATTATAATCACTAAGATAATATGGATTGGCAACGAAAAATTAGGTGTTTGGTAACGGTGCAGTCGAGTTTTGAGACACAGAATACCTCAGTGGGATACCACTAACCAAATACATTTCTTATTGTCCAAATAGGTTTCTGGATCATTAAAAAATTGCAGGTTTTCTAAAAACCGTTGTTTGCATATTATTATTATAACATAATAATTTAATATAAATAAATGTATAATAATTTTTGTACAGCAAATGTTTTTATATTTTTTTCTGTGGACAACTTTCCTATCAACAATTTCGCTCCAATTTATGATAGCACTTTTTCTGAAAAGAAATTGGCGTGGAAAGGTACTTTAACAGAGGTCATTTTTCGATTTTCTCAAGAGTTTTTCAGCAAATATGAAAAACTGGGGAAAAACAGGGAAAAACGGGAAAATCGGTACAATATTAAACAAATTTTTTTAAAGAAAATATATAATACCTTTAAATAATAATTTAGTTATTTTATCATGATATGACACATTAATTGTCGACAAAGCATCATTATCAACTGAACGCTACACAGAATGGTTTTTTCGTTAGCAATGGTGTATTGTTGCTTACAGATGCATCCCATCTACAACAGTGTCTACACCCGTCCGTAGGACAGCGTTTTGTTCTTGGATGCGTTGAATGTTCTTACTTAATATGCAATATGTATAATTAATTTGATAAAGACATAAAGTAGAGTTAAACGGAAGGTGTTTTATGCGATAAGAGAATTCAAATGATAATT